GTCCAATATTATTTATTTGTGAATGTTTCAAATTGGTTCGTGTCACAATCTCTTGTGTGGGGGCCAAGGATTGTGGAAATAATATTGTTTTGTAATTAATTGACATTGTTTGGTTATACCATGTTTATTGTATAACATATTTTCCTGACCAATTAAACTTTTTTTATGCACATTTTGACAATGGACAAGCAAGACGAGTCCAATATCACGCTATAATTAAATTGAATCAACAATTTAAAATCCATGAGTACCTTGCATTTAAATTTGATAAAGAGCTTTGACTTTTGAGAAAAATTAGAAATTTTGTAATTGTTTATTAGCAGGGATGACGTTTAAAAACGCTCAACGGCAGCCTTTTGTTATTAAATTCTTATAATTTAAGTTAACAGTTTGTCTTATTTTACAACGTGTTCGAGTGGCATGCAAGAGCTATTAAAACATTTTAGATAGATGAATTATTGCGATTAAGAATCGTTTCTTTTGAAAACCGAAGCATCTCTGTTTAAGAGAAATAAATTATGGCTCGATGTTTGTCACAATACATTTCTGTTTTATTTTCTCTATCATTGAACTACTAAATGTCACCCCAAAAGTATTTAAAGGATAATTTTTACATACACAAAAATCATACTAAATATTTGTTTGCTTATCTGCATACTGCGTTATAATATTAATAGCAGCTAAATGTGTTTGTCTCAGAATAGAAAAATGGCTACTACTCTAAAGAAAATGGAGCATTTGCTGACATGTAAGGTCAGTATTGTGCGAAGCATATTTTATACCAGATTATGTTGATTGATGCTGGTTGTTCTTTTAATAAAATATTACTGTCCTATTAGAAGGACCACAGGGGGTTTTAATTAATGCAATAACAATTTAAAATGCATAACTTTCCTTCTCACCAAACGTGAAACGAAGGCAAATCTCATGTGAAATATTTTCAGGATTGTACTGATTCGGTGACCAGATGTCAGGGTAGGATTGAGTTGACAAAGCTCAAGATGAAAAGGTTATTCAATATCAGATAATAGTGATTTGTTACATTTACCTAGAAGCTAATTATTTTGGAAATATACTGTCTAATAATGGTTAGTAAGTTCTAAAAACAGTGAACTAAAGTGGACGCCATCCTTTGAAAAAATGTAAATTTGTTGCCTTCCTCATCTCGCTTTAAACGGTGCGCTAGAAGGTCACTGAACTGCCTATGAGGTCATTTGATCTGGACGGCACAAACCACTGTTTTGGTGTATGCTCCCTAAAGGGGGGCAATGGATATTTTGTTGTGAAACTTGATCTCGAGATAGCAACAAACCAGGACAAGTGACCGAACTTTTGAGGGGGTCCCCGACCCCAACCCCCAAACGGTACCCGCGGGGCAGCCACGCCCATATTTGGTCCAAATTAGGCCCAATTTAGCCAAATACCCTGAACATGGGAAAATTTTGTAATTTGGTCGCCAAATTTTTTTGATCAAAAATCAGTTCTCAAAATAAGGTGGAAATGCGATTTCGAGTCGATTCCGAAAATTTCATGGAAAAATTTTGAAAACTGATTGAGTTGTTACAATTTTAATGAGATCAATTCCGCGAATATCGCGAACCAAGATACGGGCAATTTAGTTCATTTTTTGTGGTCTTTTCGCCTTAGTATCAACATTTAAACAGACATAAAGCTATAACTTACAGAGAATATTAAGTTTAGGCTTACCTTTCATATAAAGTAAGTTTAATTCAAAAATATTGATATTTGACCAATTTATGAGACGAAATCTACCAAAATTGGTGCGTATGCCCAAATATGGGCATATGTTTTTGGCTCATAACTCAGTCATTTTTTGTCCAATCTTGATGAAATTTCATATACGAGTTCAGAAGACCACTAGTTACAAGTAGAGCACCTAAAATCTGGGTTTTGGGCATGTGAAGGGTATTTGGCTAAATCGGACCAAATATGGGCGTGGCTGCCCCGCGGGCACCGTTTGGCGGTTGGGGTCGGAGACCCCCTCAAAAGTTTGGTCACTAGTCCTAGTTTGTTGGTCTGCTATCTTAAAATCAAGTTTCACAAAAAAAATACCCATTGGCCCCTTAGCTCTGTATGATAACAAGCATTCGTTCCTGGAAAGAATTGGCTTAAGTCTCATAAACTAACGATGAATATTTCAATTCAATTAGGGTACGAAGATTAAGAAGCACAAGGTCAACTCCAATACTTGTAAGAACTGGAGAAGAAAGTACCACACCGTACTCGAAACCCAAACGAGATATTATTGATCTTATTGACGAGGAGGAAACGATAAAAGAACTGCAAGAGCTTTTAGATAGCTCTCCAACAAAAAGTGCAGCCAGCACAGACAGTTTAGAATATGCTGAAATTATTCATAAGAATTTTTTTGCCTCATCGCCCTAAACGATAACCATTAACCATACATATTAATATCTCCAAAATCATTATCTAGGACGTTTTATTCGCATTTGGATGTAACTTTTCCACACTCAATAAATCTGTCGGAAGTCCGAATTTATCTTATTGCAATCTCTTGCACTATATATCAGTTATCTGCACTTATCGGCACCGGGCACAGGGCCGTTATATTATATGTATTAAGCGGTCTCGCTATATTCTGTACTTGCCGAACTTTTGTTTATTTAAGGCACAGTCATATGACATATTATAAGAGTGAGTTTCCGGGAGCACACGACAGTATATAAAACAGCAGACGACATGGCGCCAATTTGGGGAGTACCAACTCCATTTTAACGGATCATACATCTTGCATGATTATACAATATACATCTTATGTACAATGTACATCTTAAACGTCGTTATTGGCTTTTTAGATTTGGTCCATTACATGACGGATAATAATTGTACGTCATGTTCCCAGTTATGATAATCCAGGATAACTGCACTGTACTGGTAAATATATAGGGAATAAATGTCCTTCTTCCTGAACATTTTAAAAGCTTGCTCAAACCGAGGTAATTTATGTAGTTGAAGCGGATACCACTCGAACTACCGTTATTTAATGCACTGAACGGATTCAAAATCTTAAATACGTCCTTTGAGGTCGCATTTCACAGGACAAAAAATGCCTACCCATTTAAATATTATAAGTTACTAGAATATTAATAATTATCTAACTGAGAAGGAAATCTGCTGTATTTTTGTTATAAATTTATTCGAATCATAGTACACTTAATGAGTGATGGTTTTTCAAATGTTTTTTATCTGATGATGTGATAAACTTGTTTATGAGAAAGAAATGTTACATAAATGCTAACCAGTTTTGAGTCGTACAAATAAGGAGGACTTAAAGACTGTACATTTTTTACCGTTGAATAAATGCTTAAATCTATGGAATGATTTTAAAAGCAGCCGCAACCTTGCTATTCAGCAAGTCTTGTTGTATGAAACAAATATTATATTGACTGCTAGTAAAATAGACATTTTAAATTTTAAATTTTAAACTGTATAAGGATCTCTCGATTCGATTTAGAGCTGATTTTTTAGCTTGACTAAATGACTGTTAATCTATATTTTAATTGAAATAAATTTCGATCAAATGCTCCGTTTATTTTTGTTTTGAAAGCACAAAAATAACAGAGAAATGCCCTCTTCCATTAGACATGTAACTTAACCTTCAGTTTGACATCTGTACTGCTGTTACTCCTACAGCTGATGCTAGGGAGGCGCTTATTACACTGACTACCGTGCGAACATGTGCGTTGGCCGTTGCTGGGTAAATCTGATATTGTAACGCGCGAATTAATAATTTGTAGACAAACTAGCGCGCCGGGAACCATGCGGAATACAGATTGTCTCTTTACGTAATTCAAACTCTGATGACAAAATAAATTGATTGTGACTGTAATAATGGATTAAAAATTACGGCATACAGCAAATCTTGTGTAAAAAAATGTGATTAACAATATTATGTAAAAAAAATTCGTCAAAAAGTTTAAGAACACGATGTCCCGCCCAATTTTCTGAAGTGACAATTTTGGGACTTTGACGGGCTATAACTTTCGCTAGAAGCAGCCATTTCCCCAAAATTTGGTACCATATGACTCTACTCAATGAGACCTTTCCAATAGTGTATAATAAGTTGGGTTTTGAGACATAAAATCTCACCCACAAGTTGGCGCTCTTAGTACATACACTAATTGTTAAGATGAACACAAGCGATCAAAACAACCGCGGCTGAAATCAGTTGACTCAATGTCATTCGGTGTGTGTACTATATCATAGTTCTAGAACACTGTCTTAGAACTGGCGTGACGACAGATCTGTTTATTAGAGAGTTAGTTATTAAAGAAGAGGCAGTCAAAAAGAAAAGCTCAAAAAGCAGGAAGCAGGGAATATTTACAGTCCTCTTTCGGTTAAAAATATAAGTGTTCGCTGTCTAGTGTATAAGCACGACAATATGCTGTCACGATCATGAATTCATGATATATACGTAACCTACACAGTTAACTCGAAAAAAGAAGTTATGTAGAGTGTATACTCATCAAACTTAAGCGCAAAGAAAATGACTCACACCGGAGAATAAATAGTTTCTTAACAAATAGTTTCCTAACAATGAGAGTACTACATACCAGTGGTATGATACTACATACAAATATTTATTGTTTACGAGTCATATGACCCACGTGTATCATTAACAATTAACTAACAATTCATTGTCCATAATGTGCTTACATGGATGGCTGATGTAGGTATTATATATGAATTATATAGTTATTATAATATATGAATCGTATAAACACATCATAATTGATATATCAGAACAACAATGTTGGATCCTGGCACAATGTAGGATCCTGGCATAAAGTAAGCAACTAAATCAGTCAGCGGAAAGACTCGTGGGTACCAATGATATTTATCCTGTTGAAACCGTGCCAAAAGGGGTACACGTACGAAATTATAAATCTGCTTCCTTTATCCTTGCAAGGCTAAATATGGATAGACCACAATACCCTGACCGCATTATACTGTTTATCAGGGCCAAGTTTAAGCCTCCACCAATTAAGTATCATTTAATTAAGTTAAACTTATTTAGGTTAAGTTAATGTAAAATAACATAGTACCTATAAGATATTTATACCATACGAAATACATAATATAGTTAAGTTTATCATTCGCACAATATTCATGTTTATTTAATTATATGAGAGCTATACAGTTTAAATAATGTCTCGAACAAATTATATCTGTAGCAGATCTAATTCATAGTGCCTATATGAGTTTGTTTAGGTTATAACTTCTGTGTCTCTTGTGATATTACGTTAAACCACATGAACCTGTTGTGTACCCTAACAAATGCCATGGTTATATAATATATAATGTAAGGGTTACATGCTTGTATAGTATTTCTATACTAAGGTAAAGTATATACTGAACAAAAAATAAGTAGAGACATGTAAGAGTGATTGAGTGAAAAACGAGGAAATTCGCTGATTGATGATGATTGGGCTATGACTTATGTTCAATGATGGTGTCAGTTTTTCAATTTAAGGTTTTTCCTAACTGCATACCTGGAATCCAAATAAATGTTTAAATTTATCAGATTCTAATAACAGTGCTAATGAGTGGTGCATATATAATGCAATTCTGTTATACAAATTATCTTAAGTCTTAAAGAAGTCAGTAATTAATCTGTCTTGCAAAAAAAATCTCCTCAATTTACCCAATTAACATTTAACAACTAGCTGGCTCTATTCTTGTTTCGTCCTGTTGAGTTTCTTGTTAAGAAGTCGGAGAAGGAGAGTAAAAAGGAATCCTGTGGCACACATCACGTGACCGTACCAGTAAAGATTCTGCCACTTTAAAACAGTGTTCAGCCAGGAATATCCCTGTAAAAACATCACTTTTAAATTAAATATTTTCATATAAATTTAAAAAATATCCGCTCTAGCTCTGCAGTTATGAAGCAGAGTAAATAAACAAACTAACAAACTGGTTAGAAGTTCATATTAAAATTCACTTTTTTGTTAACAGACTTGTCTGTTGATTTGAATAATATTACAATTATTAAATACATTACCTCAGTTTGGGACGGATCTGAATCGAACATAACACCAAGATACGCCAGTTGCAAGATGTTGACAATAACAAACGCTACTCGTAAAGGTAGTTCAAATACCTTGATGTGGGGATTGGAATTTAGTCATACCTTAAAGTTACAAATGTGTATTTCAAGTTTTAATTGAACTAACTTTCCGATTAACCAAGATATTCATTTCAAATTGACAAAATCTCAAAATTCTTGTTGCATCCAATTAGAATAACTTGATATAGATTAGAATACCAGATATAGGATTAAGCATACCAGACATACCTTATTATTGTGTTGGCAGTCTACACATTTCTGGACACGAATACAGGAGCTGACCAAGATACTAAGTTCCTCTCTCAACACTGAAACAAATAATAATAATAATCGTAATTTGGAAGAATATGAAACATTTACTTGATTATTGAATATGGCATGAAACGAAATAAGATAAAAAATTGACAAACTTACCTGCTTCAACATAGGAGAAGATGAATATTGATATGAGAACTGCTGGTAGCTGGGAATTCAGGCCCTGAAAATAATAAATGTTAAATAAGAGAACTTTTACCCCGAAATCGAGAGACCACAGATTAATTCTCAAAATATAAATATCTTTAAGAACTACAACCTCGCCTTACACTGCACTCACTAACTCACACCCAGCTCACTCCTGAGCAACCCAATCTATTAGTATTTCTCGCATCACTTCAACGGCATTTTTAAACTATTTTCACAACTACAATTGAAAACAATTGAATACATTTATTGAGGTAAGATTAAGTTCTAATGTGTCCACTGTTCTCCTCGGAGACGGTGACCATACCTTTTGGACCTGCCTTCCACCTGGAGGGCAAAAAAAAACACGAAAAAAATATAAATTTCCAGTCTCCACGCACGCCGCTCTCATTCAGTCTCCACGCACCACACCTGTCCCCCAGCTCCACTCAGTATGCTCAGAACTCGTTCACACACATTTCTTCTCATCTATGTCTTTGTATCGGCGTCTTGAAAATCGCCCAGGTCACCCCTACACTGCACTCACTCACACCCAGCTCGCTCCTGAGCAACCCAACACCTCATTAGTACGCTCTCTTCAAACACAAGAAAATATCTTGCTTCAATCTATTAGTATTTCTCGCATCACTTCAACGGCAGTTTTAAACTATTTTCACAACTACAATTAAATACATTTATTGAGGTAAGATGAAGTTCTAATGTGTCCACTGTTCTCCTCGGAGACGGTGACCATACCTTTTGGACCTGCCTTCCACCTGGAGGGCAAAAAAAAACACGAAAAAAATATAAATTTCCAGTCTCCACGCACGCCGCTCTCATTCAGTCTCCACGCACCACACCTGTCCCCCAGCTCCACTCAGTATGCTCAGAACTCGTTCACACACATTTCTTCTCATCTATGTCTTTGTATCGGCGTCTTGAAAATCGCCCAGGTCACCCCTACACTGCACTCACCCACACCCAGCTCGCTCCTGAGCAACCCAACACCTCATTAGTACGCTCTCTTCAAACACTAGAAAATATCTTGCCTTAATCTATCAGTATTTCTCGCATCACTTCAACGGCAGTTTTAAACTATTTTCACAACTACAATTGAAAACAATTGAATACATTTATTGAGGTAAGATTAAGTTCTAATGTGTCCACTGTTCTCCTCGGAGACGGTGACCATACCTTTTGGACCTGCCTTCCACCTGGAGGGCAAAACAAAACACGAAAAAAATATAAATTTCCAGTCTCCACGCACGCCGCTCTCATTCAGTCTCCACGCACCACACCTGTCCCCCAGCTCCACTCAGTATGCTCAGAACTCGTTCACACACATTTCTTCTCATCTATGTCTTTGTATCGGCGTCTTGAAAATCGCCCAGGTCACCCCTACACTGCACTCACTCACACCCAGCTCGCTCCTGAGCAACCCAACACCTCATTAGTACGCTCTCTTCAAACACAAGAAAATATCTTGCTTCAATCTATTAGTATTTCTCGCATCACTTCAACGGCAGTTTTAAACTATTTTCACAACTACAATTGAAAACAATTGAATACATTTATTGAGGTAAGATTAAGTTCTAATGTGTCCACTGTTCTCCTCGGAGACGGTGACCATACCTTTTGGACCTACCTTCCACCTGGAGGGCAAAAAAAAACACGAAAAAAATATAAATTTCCAGTCTCCCACGCACGCCGCTCTCATTCAGTCTCCACGCACCACACCTGTCCCCCAGCTCCACTCAGTATGCTCAGAACTCGTTCACACACATTTCTTCTCATCTATGTCTTTGTATCGGCGTCTTGAAAATCGCCCAGGTCACCCCTACACTGCACTCACCCACACCCAGCTCGCTCCTGAGCAACCCAACACCTCATTAGTACGCTCTCTTCAAACACAAGAAAATATCTTGCTTCAATCTATTAGTATTTCTCGCATCACTTCAACGGCAGTTTTAAACTATTTTCACAACTATAATTAAATACATTTATTGAGGTAAGATTAAGTTCTAATGTGTCCACTGTTCTCCTCGGAGACGGTGACCATACCTTTTGGACCTGCCTTCCACCTGGAGGGCAAAAAAAAAACACGAAAAAAATATAAATTTCCAGTCTCCACGCACGCCGCTCTCATTCAGTCTCCACGCACCACACCTGTCCCCCAGCTCCACTCAGTATGCTCAGAACTCGTTCACACACATTTCTTCTCATCTATGTCTTTGTATCGGCGTCTTGAAAATCGCCCAGGTCACCCCTACACTGCACTCACTCACACCCAGCTCGCTCCTGAGCAACCCAACACCTCATTAGTACGCTCTCTTCAAACACTAGAAAATATCTTGCTTCAATCTATTAGTATTTCTCGCATCACTTCAACGGCAGTTTTAAACTATTTTCACAACTACAATTAAATACATCTATTGAGGTAAGATTAAGTTCTAATGTGTCCACTGTTCTCCTCGGAGACGGTGACCATACCTTTTGGACCTGCCTTCCACCTGGAGGGCAAAAAAAAAACACGAAAAAAATATAAATTTCCAGTCTCCACGCACGCCGCTCTCATTCAGTCTCCACGCACCACACCTGTCCCCCAGCTCCACTCAGTATGCTCAGAACTCGTTCACACACATTTCTTCTCATCTATGTCTTTGTATCGGCGTCTTGAAAATCGCCCAGGTCACCCCTACACTGCACTCACTCACACCCAGCTCGCTCCTGAGCAACCCAACACCTCATTAGTACGCTCTCTTCAAACACTAGAAAATATCTTGCTTCAATCTATTAGTATTTCTCGCATCACTTCAACGGCAGTTTTAAACTATTTTCACAACTACAATTAAATACATTTATTGAGGTAAGATTAAGTTCTAATGTGTCCACTGTTCTCCTCGGAGACGGTGACCATACCTTTTGGACCTGCCTTCCACCTGGAGGGCAAAAAAAAAACACGAAAAAAATATAAATTTCCAGTCTCCACGCACGCCGCTCTCATTCAGTCTCCACGCACCACACCTGTCCCCCAGCTCCACTCAGTATGCTCAGAACTCGTTCACACACATTTCTTCTCATCTATGTCTTTGTATCGGCGTCTTGAAAATCGCCCAGGTCACCCCTACACTGCACTCACCCACACCCAGCTCGCTCCTGAGCAACCCAACACCTCATTAGTACGCTCTCTTCAAACACAAGAAAATATCTTGCTTCAATCTATTAGTATTTCTCGCATCACTTCAACGGCAGTTTTAAACTATTTTCACAACTACAATTAAATACATTTATTGAGGTAAGATTAAGTTCTAATGTGTCCACTGTTCTCCTCGGAGACGGTGACCATACCTTTTGGACCTGCCTTCCACCTGGAGGGCAAAAAAAAACACGAAAAAAATATAAATTTCCAGTCTCCACGCACGCCGCTCTCATTCAGTCTCCACGCACCACACCTGTCCCCCAGCTCCACTCAGTATGCTCAGAACTCGTTCACACACATTTCTTCTCATCTATGTCTTTGTATCGGCGTCTTGAAAATCGCCCAGGTCACCCCTACACTGCACTCACTCACACCCAGCTCGCTCCTGAGCAACCCAACACCTCATTAGTACGCTCTCTTCAAACACAAGAAAATATCTTGCTTCAATCTATTAGTATTTCTCGCATCACTTCAACGGCAGTTTTAAACTATTTTCACAACTACAATTAAATACATTTATTGAGGTAAGATTAAGTTCTAATGTGTCCACTGTTCTCCTCGGAGACGGTGACCATACCTTTTGGACCTGCCTTCCACCTGGAGGGCAAAAAAAACACGAAAAAAATATAAATTTCCAGTCTCCACGCACGCCGCTCTCATTCAGTCTCCACGCACCACACCTGTCCCCCAGCTCCACTCAGTATGCTCAGAACTCGTTCACACACACTTCTTCTCATCTATGTCTTTGTATCGGCGTCTTGAAAATCGCCCAGGTCACCCCTACACTGCACTCACTCACACCCAGCTCGCTCCTCGCCGCTCTCATTCAGTCTCCACGCACCACACCTGTCCCCCAGCTCCACTCAGTATGCTCAGAACTCGTTCACACACACTTCTTCTCATCTATGTCTTTGTATCGGCGTCTTGAAAATCGCCCAGGTCACCCCTACACTGCACTCACTCACACCCAGCTCGCTCCTCGCCGCTCTCATTCAGTCTCCACGCACCACACCTGTCCCCCAGCTCCACTCAGTATGCTCAGAACTCGTTCACACACATTTCTTCTCATCTATGTCTTTGTATCGGCGTCTTGAAAATCGCCCAGGTCACCCCTACACTGCACTCACTCACACCCAGCTCGCTCCTCGCCGCTCTCATTCAGTCTCCACGCACCACACCTGTCCCCCAGCTCCACTCAGTATGCTCAGAACTCGTTCACACACATTTCTTCTCATCTATGTCTTTGTATCGGCGTCTTGAAAATCGCCCAGGTCACCCCTACACTGCACTCACTCACACCCAGCTCGCTCCTGAGCAACCCAACACCTCATTAGTACGCTCTCTTCAAACACAAGAAAATATCTTGCTTCAATCTATCAGTATTTCTCGCATCACTTCAACGGCAGTTTTAAACTATTTTCACAACTACAATTAAATACATTTATTGAGGTAAGATTAAGTTCTAATGTGTCCACTGTTCTCCTCGGAGACGGTGACCATACCTTTTGGACCTGCCTTCCACCTGGAGGGCAAAAAAAAAACACGAAAAAAATATAAATTTCCAGTCTCCACGCACGCCGCTCTCATTCAGTCTCCACGCACCACACCTGTCCCCCAGCTCCACTCAGTATGCTCAGAACTCGTTCACACACATTTCTTCTCATCTATGTCTTTGTATCGGCGTCTTGAAAATCGCCCAGGTCACCCCTACACTGCACTCACTCACACCCAGCTCGCTCCTGAGCAACCCAACACCTCATTAGTACGCTCTCTTCAAACACTAGAAAATATCTTGCCTTAATCTATCAGTATTTCTCGCATCACTTCAACGGCAGTTTTAAACTATTTTCACAACTACAATTAAATACATTTATTGAGGTAAGATTAAGTTCTAATGTGTCCACTGTTCTCCTCGGAGACGGTGACCATACCTTTTGGACCTGCCTTCCACCTGGAGGGCAAAAAAAAACACGAAAAAAATATAAATTTCCAGTCTCCACGCACGCCGCTCTCATTCAGTCTCCACGCACCACACCTGTCCCCCAGCTCCACTCAGTATGCTCAGAACTCGTTCACACACATTTCTTCTCATCTATGTCTTTGTATCGGCGTCTTGAAAATCGCCCAGGTCACCCCTACACTGCACTCACTCACACCCAGCTCGCTCCTGAGCAACCCAACACCTCATTAGTACGCTCTCTTCAAACACAAGAAAATATCTTGCCTTAATCTATCAGTATTTCTCGCATCACTTCAACGGCAGTTTTAAACTATTTTCACAACTACAATTAAATACATTTATTGAGGTAAGATTAAGTTCTAATGTGTCCACTGTTCTCCTCGGAGACGGTGACCATACCTTTTGGACCTGCCTTCCACCTGGAGGGCAAAAAAAAAACACGAAAAAAATATAAATTTCCAGTCTCCACGCACGCCGCTCTCATTCAGTCTCCACGCACCACACCTGTCCCCCAGCTCCACTCAGTATGCTCAGAACTCGTTCACACACATTTCTTCTCATCTATGTCTTTGTATCGGCGTCTTGAAAATCGCCCAGGTCACCCCTACACTGCACTCACTCACACCCAGCTCGCTCCTCGCCGCTCTCATTCAGTCTCCACGCACCACACCTGTCCCCCAGCTCCACTCAGTATGCTCAGAACTCGTTCACACACACTTCTTCTCATCTATGTCTTTGTATCGGCGTCTTGAAAATCGCCCAGGTCACCCCTACACTGCACTCACTCACACCCAGCTCGCTCCTCGCCGCTCTCATTCAGTCTCCACGCACCACACCTGTCCCCCAGCTCCACTCAGTATGCTCAGAACTCGTTCACACACATTTCTTCTCATCTATGTCTTTGTATCGGCGTCTTGAAAATCGCCCAGGTCACCCCTACACTGCACTCACTCACACCCAGCTCGCTCCTCGCCGCTCTCATTCAGTCTCCACGCACCACACCTGTCCCCCAGCTCCACTCAGTATGCTCAGAACTCGTTCACACACATTTCTTCTCATCTATGTCTTTGTATCGGCGTCTTGAAAATCGCCCAGGTCACCCCTACACTGCACTCACTCACACCCAGCTCGCTCCTGAGCAACCCAACACCTCATTAGTACGCTCTCTTCAAACACTAGAAAATATCTTGCCTTAATCTATCAGTATTTCTCGCATCACTTCAACGGCAGTTTTAAACTATTTTCACAACTACAATTAAATACATTTATTGAGGTAAGATTAAGTTCTAATGTGTCCACTGTTCTCCTCGGAGACGGTGACCATACCTTTTGGACCTGCCTTCCACCTGGAGGGCAAAAAAAAACACGAAAAAAATATAAATTTCCAGTCTCCACGCACGCCGCTCTCATTCAGTCTCCACGCACCACACCTGTCCCCCAGCTCCACTCAGTATGCTCAGAACTCGTTCACACACATTTCTTCTCATCTATGTCTTTGTATCGGCGTCTTGAAAATCGCCCAGGTCACCCCTACACTGCACTCACTCACACCCAGCTCGCTCCTGAGCAACCCAACACCTCATTAGTACGCTCTCTTCAAACACAAGAAAATATCTTGCTTCAATCTATTAGTATTTCTCGCATCACTTCAACGGCAGTTTTAAACTATTTTCACAACTACAATTAAATACATTTATTGAGGTAAGATTAAGTTCTAATGTGTCCACTGTTCTCCTCGGAGACGGTGACCATACCTTTTGGACCTGCCTTCCACCTGGAGGGCAAAAAAAAACACGAAAAAAATATAAATTTCCAGTCTCCACGCACGCCGCTCTCATTCAGTCTCCACGCACCACACCTGTCCCCCAGCTCCACTCAGTATGCTCAGAACTCGTTCACACACATTTCTTCTCATCTATGTCTTTGTATCGGCGTCTTGAAAATCGCCCAGGTCACCCCTACACTGCACTCACTCACACCCAGCTCGCTCCTGAGCAACCCAACACCTCATTAGTACGCTCTCTTCAAACACAAGAAAATATCTTGCTTCAATCTATTAGTATTTCTCGCATCACTTCAACGGCAGTTTTAAACTATTTTCACAACTACAATTAAATACATTTATTGAGGTAAGATTAAGTTCTAATGTGTCCACTGTTCTCCTCGGAGACGGTGACCATACCTTTTGGACCTGCCTTCCACCTGGAGGGCAAAAAAAAACACGAAAAAAATATAAATTTCCAGTCTCCACGCACGCCGCTCTCATTCAGTCTCCACGCACCACACCTGTCCCCCAGCTCCACTCAGTATGCTCAGAACTCGTTCACACACATTTCTTCTCATCTATGTCTTTGTATCGGCGTCTTGAAAATCGCCCAGGTCACCCCTACACTGCACTCACTCACACCCAGCTCGCTCCTGAGCAACCCAACACCTCATTAGTACGCTCTCTTCAAACACAAGAAAATATCTTGCTTCAATCTATTAGTATTTCTCGCATCACTTCAACGGCAGTTTTAAACTATTTTCACAACTACAATTAAATACATTTATTGAGGTAAGATTAAGTTCTAATGTGTCCACTGTTCTCCTCGGAGACGGTGACCATACCTTTTGGACCTGCCTTCCACCTGGAGGGCAAAAAAAAACACGAAAAAAATATAAATTTCCAGTCTCCACGCACGCCGCTCTCATTCAGTCTCCACGCACCACACCTGTCCCCCAGCTCCACTCAGTATGCTCAGAACTCGTTCACACACATTTCTTCTCATCTATGTCTTTGTATCGGCGTCTTGAAAATCGCCCAGGTCACCCCTACACTGCACTCACTCACACCCAGCTCGCTCCTGAGCAACCCAACACCTCATTAGTACGCTCTCTTCAAACACAAGAAAATATCTTGCTTCAATCTATTAGTATTTCTCGCATCACTTCAACGGCAGTTTTAAACTATTTTCACAACTACAATTAAATACATTTATTGAGGTAAGATTAAGTTCTAATGTGTCCACTGTTCTCCTCGGAGACGGTGACCATACCTTTTGGACCTGCCTTCCACCTGGAGGGCAAAAAAAAAACACGAAAAAAATATAAATTTCCAGTCTCCACGCACGCCGCTCTCATTCAGTCTCCACGCACCACACCTGTCCCCCAGCTCCACTCAGTATGCTCAGAACTCGTTCACACACATTTCTTCTCATCTATGTCTTTGTATCGGCGTCTTGAAAATCGCCCAGGTCACCCCTACACTGCACTCACTCACACCCAGCTCGCTCCTGAGCAACCCAACACCTCATTAGTACGCTCTCTTCAAACACAAGAAAATATCTTGCTTCAATCTATTAGTATTTCTCGCATCACTTCAACGGCAGTTTTAAACTATTTTCACAACTACAATTAAATACATTTATTGAGGTAAGATTAAGTTCTAATGTGTCCACTGTTCTCCTCGGAGACGGTGACCATACCTTTTGGACCTGCCTTCCACCTGGAGGGCAAAAAAAAACACGAAAAAAATATAAATTTCCAGTCTCCACGCACGCCGCTCTCATTCAGTCTCCACGCACCACACCTGTCCCCCAGCTCCACTCAGTATGCTCAGAACTCGTTCACACACATTTCTTCTCATCTATGTCTTTGTATCGGCGTCTTGAAAATCGCCCAGGTCACCCCTACACTGCACTCACTCACACCCAGCTCGCTCCTGAGCAACCCAACACCTCATTAGTACGCTCTCTTCAAACACAAGAAAATATCTTGCTTCAATCTATTAGTATTTCTCGCATCACTTCAACGGCAGTTTTAAACTATTTTCACAACTACAATTAAATACATTTATTGAGGTAAGATTAAGTTCTAATGTGTCCACTGTTCTCCTCGGAGACGGTGACCATACCTTTTGGACCTGCCTTCCACCTGGAGGGCAAAAAAAAACACGAAAAAAATATAAATTTCCAGTCTCCACGCACGCCGCTCTCATTCAGTCTCCACGCACCACACCTGTCCCCCAGCTCCACTCAGTATGCTCAGAACTCGTTCACACACATTTCTTCTCATCTATGTCTTTGTATCGGCGTCTTGAAAATCGCCCAGGTCACCCCTACACTGCACTCACTCACACCCAGCTCGCTCCTGAGCAACCCAACACCTCATTAGTACGCTCTCTTCAAACACAAGAAAATATCTTGCTTCAATCTATTAGTATTTCTCGCATCACTTCAACGGCAGTTTTAAACTATTTTCACAACTACAATTAAATACATTTATTGAGGTAAGATTAAGTTCTAATGTGTCCACTGTTCTCCTCGGAGACGGTGACCATACCTTTTGGACCTGCCTTCCACCTGGAGGGCAAAAAAAAACACGAAAAAAATATAAATTTCCAGTCTCCACGCACGCCGCTCTCATTCAGTCTCCACGCACCACACCTGTCCCCCAGCTCCACTCAGTATGCTCAGAACTCGTTCACACACATTTCTTCTCATCTATGTCTTTGTATCGGCGTCTTGAAAATCGCCCAGGTCACCCCTACACTGCACTCACTCACACCCAGCTCGCTCCTGAGCAACCCAACACCTCATTAGTACGCTCTCTTCAAACACAAGAAAATATCTTGCTTCAATCTATTAGTATTTCTCGCATCACTTCAACGGCAGTTTTAAACTATTTTCACAACTACAATTAAATACATTTATTGAGGTAAGATTAAGTTCTAATGTGTCCACTGTTCTCCTCGGAGACGGTGACCATACCTTTTGGACCTGCCTTCCACCTGGAGGGCAAAAAAAAACACGAAAAAAATATAAATTTCCAGTCTCCACGCACGCCGCTCTCATTCAGTCTCCACGCACCACACCTGTCCCCCAGCTCCACTCAGTATGCTCAGAACTCGTTCACACACATTTCTTCTCATCTATGTCTTTGTATCGGCGTCTTGAAAATCGCCCAGGTCACCCCTACACTGCACTCACTCACACCCAGCTCGCTCCTGAGCAACCCAACACCTCATTAGTACGCTCTCTTCAAACACAAGAAAATATCTTGCTTCAATCTATTAGTATTTCTCGCATCACTTCAACGGCAGTTTTAAACTATTTTCACAACTACAATTAAATACATTTATTGAGGTAAGATTAAGTTCTAATGTGTCCACTGTTCTCCTCGGAGACGGTGACCATACCTTTTGGACCTGCCTTCCACCTGGAGGGCAAAAAAAAACACGAAAAAAATATAAATTTCCAGTCTCCACGCACGCCGCTCTCATTCAGTCTCCACGCACCACACCTGTCCCCCAGCTCCACTCAGTATGCTCAGAACTCGTTCACACACATTTCTTCTCATCTATGTCTTTGTATCGGCGTCTTGAAAATCGCCCAGGTCACCCCTACACTGCACTCACTCACACCCAGCTCGCTCCTGAGCAACCCAACACCTCATTAGTACGCTCTCTTCAAACACAAGAAAATATCTTGCTTCAATCTATTAGTATTTCTCGCATCACTTCAACGGCAGTTTTAAACTATTTTCACAACTACAATTAAATACATTTATTGAGGTAAGATTAAGTTCTAATGTGTCCACTGTTCTCCTCGGAGACGGTGACCATACCTTTTGGACCTGCCTTCCACCTGGAGGGCAAAAAAAAACACGAAAAAAATATAAATTTCCAGTCTCCACGCACGCCGCTCTCATTCAGTCTCCACGCACCACACCTGTCCCCCAGCTCCACTCAGTATGCTCAGAACTCGTTCACACACATTTCTTCTCATCTATGTCTTTGTATCGGCGTCTTGAAAATCGCCCAGGTCACCCCTACACTGCACTCACTCACACCCAGCTCGCTCCTGAGCAACCCAACACCTCATTAGTACGCTCTCTTCAAACACAAGAAAATATCTTGCTTCAATCTATTAGTATTTCTCGCATCACTTCAACGGCAGTTTTAAACTATTTTCACAACTACAATTAAATACATTTATTGAGGTAAGATTAAGTTCTAATGTGTCCACTGTTCTCCTCGGAGACGGTGACCATACCTTTTGGACCTGCCTTCCACCTGGAGGGCAAAAAAAAACACGAAAAAAATATAAATTTCCAGTCTCCACGCACGCCGCTCTCATTCAGTCTCCACGCACCACACCTGTCCCCCAGCTCCACTCAGTATGCTCAGAACTCGTTCACACACATTTCTTCTCATCTATGTCTTTGTATCGGCGTCTTGAAAATCGCCCAGGTCACCCCTACACTGCACTCACTCACACCCAGCTCGCTCCTGAGCAACCCAACACCTCATTAGTACGCTCTCTTCAAACACAAGAAAATATCTTGCTTCAATCTATTAGTATTTCTCGCATCACTTCAACGGCAGTTTTAAACTATTTTCACAACTACAATTAAATACATTTATTGAGGTAAGATTAAGTTCTAATGTGTCCACTGTTCTCCTCGGAGACGGTGACCATACCTTTTGGACCTGCCTTCCACCTGGAGGGCAAAAAAAAACACGAAAAAAATATAAATTTCCAGTCTCCACGCACGCCGCTCTCATTCAGTCTCCACGCACCACACCTGTCCCCCAGCTCCACTCAGTATGCTCAGAACTCGTTCACACACATTTCTTCTTATCTATGTCTTTGTATCGGCGTCTTCGGATCGCCGTCGAGTTAGCCGTAAACGGTCAAGCCGTTGAACTCGCAAGAGTATGAATGTCTTTCATATAATATATCCAAGTGTTTGGTATCAGATGCTGTATAATTTCTGCAGAATAAAGAAATATCAGCAATTGACTCCTTTCGATTATTCTATAATATTATCTAAAACGTTGATAGGAATGTCAAAAAGCCAATTCATCATTTATGAAAGTTTAAGTAGTAAGTAAGTAGGAAGTTTCACATCATTCTACGGATTCCAGGGAACTCCCCAATTTCCCTCGATTTGTTGGAACACATGTTGCGCGTCTCTACAACTAGTTTTAAGTGATGTTTTCAACAAATCAGATGATCGCGCCTTCCATTTCTGTTCGAATTGATGTAACCGTTCTTGCCACTCTATCACATGTTAAAATCGCTTGAATAACCAAGTCGTATCCATACACAATTAATATTAGATAAAACAGTCATTAAGAAACGTTCGGATCACGGTTCGGGAATAGGGTACCGACTCATCAAATTTCCGGTACTTACTTGGTAGTATTTGGTATTCGGTACCGAAAATATTCGGTCAGCGAATATCCCATGATACGGTCGACTGTGAAATCAATATTATTCGGTCGACCGAATTACCGAATATTCGGTCGAACAGATTTCCGAACTATTCAGGAAGAGTTACACAAACTATCATCAATAATTTATCAAGTCATTATTAGACTCAGACCGCTACATATCAACTTTCTAATGACCAGGGACATGAATGAGATAAAATTGGATTGGTTTAGATAGAGGCTGTCCTTGCGTTTCTCTAACGATCACATTTGTTGTCACATTATCACACACTCAAGAAAAATGTCTCTAAATTAATCAATAAAAGTCAATCGAGCAACTTGAAGAGGATTCACAATGGCTACACAAGAAAGTCAAAATTACTTACATGTAAAACACTTGAAGCTGCATATGTCAGAAACGCAGCCACAAAGACACCATAAGACCTTGATTTCTTGTACACATCTGACGATAGTATCATAATCAGTATATATATATCTAATTAATGACAAGTAAGCATTTATTATGGCCCAATTTATTATCTTTGCCATATCTCATTGATTAAGTAGTGGGAGAGGGAGGGGGAGGAGGTTATTTAATCTTGGAACGTACATGTTTTGAGCCAGTAGTGCATAGGAATATTCCAAGCCACAGCAACAGAAGACATTGATCTTGGTATTTCAACTCGCGAAGGTTGGACAACATAATACCTGTAATGATAATATAGAGATTGGCTGGAATGTAGATTATAGGACCTTTTAAGCTGTACATTTAATGGATTAAGATAAGCCCATTCCAAAAATTTGATTATCATGGGGTTATGATTTAGTACTTAGTAGGAATCAGTTGTGTGATCGAATTATAACAATAGGAAACTACTTCTTAATTACCACTCACAATTACAATCCTGGTTACACTAATCACATTATCTCTTCCTCGATCAAGTTTTTATCAGAGGCTAAGTAAAAATAAAAAGCGAATATTACTTTTCTGAGTGCTGAAAACCACCGATCAGAGCTGAAGCTTGAGAAGTATAGCTGACAAAGTAATGGCTTGTGCGGAAACTCAGTGCAGTGAGATACGTTCTTATCAATCTGAAATAATAATACAACAGATACGTTCTTATCAATCTGAAATAATAATACAACAGATACGTTCTTATCAATCTGAAATAATAATACAAGTTTAAATGTAATGGATTAAATTAAGGTCCACAGCAGATTGTGTAAGTTCTTTTTCTTTGAAGATTTTAAATTGTCATCTTAAAAGTAAAACGTACGTGTGAGAAGATGGGTCGATGAAAGTAGGTAAAATACAGGATGAAACCAGGACACTAAGATAGGCCAAGAAGAGGGAACTACAAATACTAATGAGCACCTGTCTTTCCTGAAATAATGAAAAGTTTTAAAAATATTCATATTTCATAGTTGTCTGTTCCAGTCAGATCAGATGTAGTCGGTTTTTAACTTCTTGTATCCAAATAATCTTCTGCCTTAATTCGATTAACGATTTGATTAATGGTCAAATGTAGACTAACTTTTCACGCTTGATCTTTCTCGGTAAATGAGGCTAATTTTTATCACTGTTCAAAATTTAGTCGGAGGCCATGAATAGCAGAAATCTGATCCTTTCAAGAAGGTGTTATACGGCGTGGGTCCCTGACACCACCTCGTATAATACCTCCAACCTCTCATAAAACGGCCATACGTATATACATGCATATATACATATATACGCATATACGTAATTTATAAGTTAGAAACTGTTATCCGACAGAAGGAAAACATGATCCTTTTTTAAAACTTACAAATATGGCAAGTTTGCTTTTCTTGTAATCAGGGAGGGTAACGAAAGGACCGAATACAAGTGAGACGGGAGAGAGACTGTAACCAGAGAACAGAAGCAGAGAAGGAGGATCCACTACACCTGCATCAATATCAAACCCTACAGAGGTTGTTTTCATCAGTAGCAAGATTATTGTGCCACGGATCTGGTGCCACTGTTCAGGTGCCACAACCAACAACTCACTGAAAAGGCAGAGGTTAAAATATCACGATGCCCGATTTTAATAAATGGAGAAAAAACAGTATCAGTTACTGAACGTCAGGCACCTGGTTTAAAATTTTCTAGATAATATCTCGCGTAGTTCTTACCAGATAAAAACAAAAGCTAAGTTTATGAGAAGAATAGCAGCACCACACTTTCCACTGCTAGAGGAGAATATCAGGACAGCATACGATATCACAACTAAAAACACTGAGGGAGAGATCGTTATTTTTTCCTTTTCACCCTTTTGAAAAAAGGCAATAGTGAAAGGTTACGAATGGACGTTTTTGCAGAAAAACGTGGGTTTTGGAGATAGCGGTAGGCGGGTCTCAGAATATGTCGTCAGTCCTTCCTTACTTCCTTCCGTTAGTAACCATGTCAACTTGTCGCGCGCACGCGCGCGTGGATTGCTTGCGGAGATGTGGTGTATAGCTAGTCTGTGGTCAATGAATGCGCGGCATGGCACGAGCGTATTTTAATGTATACTAGTAATGTATAGTATTTTGTAATAAGCCCAACTTGAACGTGGCACGCGTAGTGTACTGATATTTCGATATTAATATTATAAGGTGAGCTGATTAGAGCTTATATTAATAGTTATAGTGAAATGGAAATCTAGCGTCCGCCAAAACGGAAACAACGGGCGCAATTCTTGTTTCAGAGGTAATTGTTTAATTTTTTCTAGAATGATTGCATGTTAGATAGAAGTGGTAAAACGAGTAAATAAGTTTAATTGTAAGTCAAATGTCTAGATTGAAATTACAATATTTCCAACTTAGAATTAATCAATTCTAAGTGGTATCTACTCAAGATCATATAATTGTAGATCTGTCGAAAGTACTTGATGTCTTAACGTATTATACTTAATGTTTACTCGCTACTTAATTTATAATCAATAAGGTCCATCTGAATTCTGATGGCAATTGCACGATCGTCAATTTCGAAGTTTACAGGTTTATTATTACTGAAGACATGATAGTAAGTCAAAACTGTATAATAAGTTACTACCTATAAAGAGGGTACTGGACTGATAGAACAGAAAAGCACACAGAATCCCGAGCAGTGTGTCTAGGATGAAAGTCAACTTCTCCCATTGTAGCTGATTTAATATGCTTACCTGCGACAAATAGTAGTAAACCTTTAATTGGCGAATAAATTGTTGGAAAATATAGTGTCAATTCTAGTAGCTCAAGCTAGTTGATATTGAACACTGTTTATCTTATCAATTTAGCTTTACCTGATGACTTGCTCCACAACTGACTTCAAAATTTTAGTTTCATACCATGAATATTTTGAGCTGATGAATAAGTATAAGCTGATATACTCACGATTGCAGCAAGACCAAAGATTTTGAGAAAGACAGCAGTAACCTGTCCTACAACCGGTAATACACAGTAGTGTAGAGTGGACTCCAATACGTTGTCATGGTAACTATCATCATTGTAACTGTCTTCATAGTAAGCGTTGTCATGGTAATATTCGTTGTCATCAGCTTCCATGACTAAATGTTTATGATAGTTTAATGTTATCAGATTATGGGTGAAATTTTATGAGACAATAATAGGCAGCCAGTTACAGCTATGAATTTATGAGTACACATGACCCAGTATTTAGAATTCATTGTTGCGGTAACTCAATTGATATTGAAACACTGTTTCAATCAGAAAGTTATAAAAAATCAAAACAATTTTAACATTGAAAGGAACAAACAGAATTCTGGATTAAAATAATCAAAGTTGAATAATTTTATAAACACAGTCTACCGATTTAAGCTCATTATATGAGCTTTATTTTATGACATATAATATATAAATACAGCTATAATGTTATTTCCATTTTTTCTATGCAGATGATTTTGATTTTCCTTTCTTGGCAAACCACTCATTGCTTTTGTCCTCGTCGATTGCTTTGTCGAGAAGATTGCTGCCCTCAGGGTCAAACTGAGACAAATCTCTGAAACCCTCATCTCCAACAAAACATATCTCATACCCATCAGGATCACTAAAGATAACAACTGAGACATCTGCTTTACCATCAGTTTTGAGTGTTACAAATGGTGTTAAAATTGTGAACCCTTTCTCAATAGCAAGTTTTTCAGCATCAGCAAGCACAGAAATAGGTACAGAAAAAGCAACACGTCCATACGCCTTAGCATGATTGATCTCTGCCTGGTGCACAAATTTAACATAGGCTTGCGATTGATCAATTCCAAGAGTAGCACTGGTTTCAGATTGATCAAACACAGTCAAACCGAGTATTTCGCTCCAGAAACTGACAGTAGCTTGTATGTTAGTTGAAGCAAGAGTAATTCCTGCAACTGGACCCCCAGATGAAGCATTCTTGTTTTCCAAATGAAACAAATATCCATCAGGAGACTCTAACATCTTACTGCCATTACCAGTGACCTCTTCCTTAGCTGCAGCAAAAACATCACTTGACTCGATGTGCAAACCTAGGAAATCGTTTCCTAACTCGTACTTGTCAATCCCATAGTTATACGTCAGTTCAAGCACAAAGTTGGTGTCCTCCACCCCATATCCTATCATTGTCTTACTCCAACGACCCTGATAAGGTCCGTTGCACGATGCATCACAACCTGATTAAATTATTGTCTGTGATTGGAACAAAAGTAAGGCAAAATCTCAAAAAAAAACTTATGGCCTTCAATAAAATTATAGTTATATAAACGATTGAATAAGACAGGAGTATATAGCTACCTTCTTTGAACTCCTCATGCCGGAGAACTTTCATTCCTAGATGTCTCAGAAAGTTAACAGATTGGGCTCGATCTCCAATTTTAAACACCCAGTGTAAAGCTCGTCGTGTGGTCATGGTGCTTATAAACCTAAAGATTAAGTTATCTGATTGATAATGCAAGGGAATTGTACGGCTGAATAGAACAAACTTTTAAAATTATTCAGCTGCCATCACAGAAATTAGAAAGGTGATACTAGGTACTAAATTATAGTACAACAATAATAATTAATAATGAGTATCAATTGACAAGGTAAATTCTATTGTTTTCTGATGTAAAATTTGCTTTGGTGGTACCGTGATTGAAGGTTAAATAAGGAGGGGCCCTGCCAAAAAATCAAGAATCTTACTCAATGAAACAAGAAATTTAATGAAACCTGTCTATTAAAGGTACATTTTCAATTAATATGTGTAATCATTTGATTTCAGCTGTTATGTATCTGGTTTGCAGGAACCATAATATATATATTATATTAATTTAACAAAACAAACATCTCCCGATAACTCCGTTACCATTTTACATGTCTCTGTGTGAACTAGGCCTTCTCCGGACAAGGCCTTTTACGGACAGTTTTCGGGCGATATTTGCGCGACACTCTTACGATTTCGTTTACAATTTTGCTAGAACACCTCCTCACAGATTCTTTGTCGATATTTTGTCCATATTTTGTAACAAAATCCAAAATTTACAAAAATATCCTTCTCACTGTAACACTTGGAAAGAGAGTGAAAAGTGAGACGAAGATTGAATACTAAGACGGAGAATGAACACTGAAACAGAGATTGAACAGTGAGAAAGAGATAGAACAGTGAGACAGAGAGTTAACTCTGAGACAGATATTGAATAGTGAAACAGAGAATGAACTTTGAAACAGAGGATGAACAGCGAGACGTGGATTGAACACTAAGACGGAGAATAAACAGTGAGACAGAGAATGAACAGTGAGACAGAGAATAATTAGTGAGACAAAGAATGAACACTGAGACAGAGAATGAACACTGAGATGAACACTAATCACTAAGGGATACGAAGATTAAATACCGAGAAAGAGATTTAAAATACTGAGATATAAAGTTAACCGTGAGTGCGGTAGAATATCATTACATGGTTATTGGTTGGCTTAATATCTAAGAGAATGAGTGCTCGACTTTTAAAGTAATATATTATCAAACAGAAGACGTATCAGTTTCTTTTGTAAATATAGGTTGCCATATCATTGGCGGTATCTGACAGTTTCTTTAAAAACAATGCACGGACATCATCGTCCATCACGTCAAACTCGGGATCATTAATGAAGGAAGTTATTCTGTTTGAATACTCCCGCCAATCTCCTTTATAGTCTATATCCCGTTTCTTCTTTCTCTTATTCCTATTTTTTCCAACCTCATCATCTTCTACTTCTTCATCCTTATCTTCTGATGCTGGATAATCACAACATTTGTTTACATCAGCTGGACATACCCCAATATCACTTCCTGCAAAAATTAATATTGAATTTTTCATTTCGACTATTATAAGAATAGGAAGCAAAGAAAAAAAACAGGAAAAAATGGCAAAACCTGCGGTGTGATTTATGACTCTGATGTCAGAGAGTGATTACCCACTTTAACAGACAAAACCATCATTGGCTGTCTAACCCTGATAACAACCAGGGTTCACACGGATTCCTTGCCTCGGAGGTCGAGCTAATGCCTTGCTTTTGATAATGATATCTACGGTACCGCGACAATTGACCCCCCGACAATTGACCCCCCGACAATTGACCCCCTATGTAATTACACTGGGGTCAATTGTCGCGAAATCTAAGGTTTAGTACGACAATTGACCCCCCGACAATTGACCCCCCAACAATTGACCCCCCGACAAGTGACCCCCCGACAATTGACCCCCCGACAATTGACCCCCTATGTAATTACACTGGGGTCAATTGTCGCGAAATATAGGGCCTAGTACGACAATTGACCCCCCGACAATTGACCCCCCGACAATTGACCCCCCGATGTAATTTCACTGTTCAGCTGCTGTTAATTATTTAGGAAAACACCATTTTTTGGCCCTATTTCATCATTATACTTAATGTACACAAATTTTGCCTTAGATATATGTTTTTTACGTTTTGAATTTTTAACACTTGTTTTTAGATCATGAATACGATGTAGTTACATTGAAACGTCGAGTAATCTCCTTTCCCTAATAAGAGCATTTTTACTTGTCGCAACAACCGGGATAAAGATAATTTTACCCAGAATACATACTTAAGTACTACATATTGATATAGTCAATGATCCCTGTGATTTCCAAGTGATTTCCCTGATAAGACTTGGTTAACGAAGCACTGCTAGTGAAAACGTATCTCATCACCGCACTACAAGATCGGATGACGAAACATGATTTCTGGTTAAAACGAATCAGACCCTAATGAGACTTGGTTAACGAGTCTCATCAGACCCTAATGAGACTTGGTTAACGAAGCACGATTGCTGGTGAAAACGTACCTGATCACCGCACAAAATCGTACCTACTATGAAGAAATTGCGTGTTAAAACGAATCCGATTGGGATTGAGAATGGTTTAAAATGTCCGAAGAAATACACACAATATCAACAGTTACATCAACAGTCACATCAACTTCTCTCTCTCTAACATGCTTTCCTTCATCAAATCTGAACGTTCGAAGCCTAAGCTATCCCACGGCGGCTACCTCTACAACCACCACAAGGAGAAGTCGAGCGGCTCTATAACCTGGAGATGTGAGATGAACAGCAAGCACTACCGCGATTTGGGGAGATCCTGCAGCTCGACGGCTTCTACCACTGGCACCTCTCCTACCTCTACCTTGGAATGGGCCCGCGATCACACCCACCCTCCTGACAACTCGAAGATTAAAGCGAGAGTGATCTACCAGGATGTGAAGGAACGGGCTACCATGGAACCTACCGCTACCCCAAACCTCATCACTACCGACTCCTTGATCGGCGCCACACCAGACGTGAAACTTTCCCTTCCTCAACCTGGTTCCTTGAAGCGAACTGTACAGCGCAAGCGGAAAGCGTCTACCCTTCAATCTCACCCTGACCTAGCAACTGCGAATGATAGGACACTCACTGAAGAAGCTAGCTGAGCTTGCCTTTCTTCCTCTTGCGGATGTTATCGACTCCTTTGAAGTCCTCGCCGACACTTTTGAAGATGACGAGCTTCCACTCCTCGGCTACTTCGAGCCTACTTGGATTGGTGTAACTGTGGGGCGCAGATCAAGACAGCGGACTGCACCTATCTTCCCTCTCGCCATGTGGAACGTCATCGGGCGTCACTTTACGGGGACGACTCGAACCACCAACGCTCTCGACTCCCTACTCAGCTGTAAGCATCCGACTATTTGGGTACTCCTGAAGGCGCTACATCGCCAACAAACCCTTACGGACAATACATTGGTTCACAGCGCGGGGAGACCAGAAGCCTGTCACAGCTAAGCAAGCTTCTCGCAATGCTAGGATTGTGACCCTGGTATCTGCTTACTCCAGCACCGACGCTGATAGGACCCTCCGAGGGATCGCTTATAACTATATGATTTGAATTTGACATGTATTTTAGCATGTGTCAGTATCAGAATGTAACCGTTGTATGGTTATAATATTATATTTATAATGTAGCAATTACATGCGAATACACTTATCCATCTTACCCCTGTGTACTTGTAAGTTCACCAAAATTTGTTGTATCCTTAACTCAGTTTATTTACTTCGTTTTTTACAAACATTCAAACATCATTATATTAAATTATATTGTCGGGGGGTCAATTGTCGGGGGTCAATTGTCGGGGGGTCAATTGTTGGGGGTTCAATTGTCGGGGGGTCAATTGTCGGGGGGTCAATTGTCGGGGGGTCAATTGTCGATATCTACTGGTGGAACTTTTCTCTACTAGGCTTCACTGCTCCTACATTGACGCACGGCCATGGCACGCGAGCCAGTAATAAACCTCAATAATATTAGAAATGCTTCCAATAAAAAGTAAAGGGGTAAGTTAAACAGATTGTTCTGATAGTAAGCCTAAGGATGCACAAACAGTTGGAGGGTTGAAGTAATGGACGTAGGAAGGAGGTAGGAAGAGGTATAGTAATAGTGTTTATGACAGAACAAACCAGATGATATAGCGTTTCGTTGCGGAACAATTTTGTGGTTGTGGTTTCTGCATATTTGGTAAACCACAGTGTGAAGCTCAAATGCAGATGTGTCTTCAGCATTTTCCCTCGCTGCTGCTATCGCATCCGCTCTCTGTGTCCTGCTAGCTCCTACCTGGTAAAGTAACAATTATTGTAAACGTAGCAATGACTATGGGCATGTCTGCGTTCCATTCTCTCTGCACATTTCTTTGGTTTAAATTAAATAATTTAAATTGGTCAATTACAATTTTATTATATATCAATTGTATTATATATCAATTACAATTGTATTATATACGTATATATACGTCTTGTAGTGTCTTCGTCCACTATTACCACATTTATTTTGGATTCAAAATCATTAATGTGTCTATGTGTCATCCATTCTTGGTCCGATGTTGTTCATTATTATTGTCTAGTTATTGATTATTGATTACATAAACGACCTTGCAAATGTTAGAGATATATCCCAATATTTTTTTTTCGCAGATGGCAGACACGTACACTGAACTGAACATGCGTGAAAATAATTTTTAAATACTGTAAAAAATGAGGAATCCACAGTATTTTGAAATCAAACTCAACACATTACTTTGATAACGATTATAGCCTCTCTCGCATAGAGTAACGATTATTTTTTAAAAGGATGATGTAGTTTGAGGAGTCCTCACTCTCCTCACGTCCAACAATGGCGTTTCTCTTGTCGCTATTGATATTTTTCGATGTACGACTAAAATGATATAAATTGATGTAATATACTCTCGACGCTCATGCCACCCCATCGCAGGTTTATTAATATTACTTCTACTACTACATAAGATCAAATAGCACGTATCTAACAAATAAGTGTGTCACCCTTTGTTTTAAAACAAATCAGTAAAGAAATTATTACCCGGTTAATTGTAAAAACTTTGTATTCATAAAGACGTATCTCTGCTTTACAGTTTGTACTTTTAATTGTTAGCTTTCTTATGCGCTGCTTTCCTTTATCCTGAAATAAAATGTTATGAGATCGGACTACTTTAATTTCAGAACAGCGCCGTAATTTCTAAGCTTAATAATAATAAATTGAAGTTTAAGAACACCACTATTAGGATAAACTTATACTCAGCAGTGTTTAATTTAGTCATCCCAGAAACTTGTATGATTAAATATAAGACTGGTAACATAAGAAAAGAATTAACAAAAGAAAGATTTTTAAAATTAACTTAAAACCAACATTTGTAGCAGGTTTCTTGTTGTTTGAGGCACGATGGGGACACCTCAGAAAGCACTGTCTGCTGTTAACGAAGGGAGCGTCCTCAAACTCTACTGGACCATGTGAAAACGAAACACCGAGTTTAGAACCTGATTAAATCAATTTAGGTCAAAAAAGTACCAGACAAATGTGTGCTATTTTAGTTCATATGATTTTTTTAGCCTACAAAATGTACTTATGATAATATATTGTTTTGTAATTATACAGGGTGGGCCAAAAGTCAGTACCCATACGTTGGCCTTAATAGCTCAGTCACTGAGTGCCCAATTAGGAATCCGTTTCGCACCATCTTTTCAGATTATATTCCGTATTAAATGACCTATTGTAATATGTTACAACGGAGTCTCTAACATGTTCACAAACACCAGTATAAGCAATTCAATGTTGATTGGGTGTGGCCCCCAAAAATCGAATTTTAGAATTTTGGTGACGGAATCCTCGAACACGTAGGTACAGTATACCATCTGCAAAGCAACAACTCTCAAAAATAAAACACGGCGGTGGTATAAGACCGAACGTATGGGTACTGACTTTTGGCCCACCCTGTATGTTTAAGATGTATGATTATAATACGACTCTTTAATTTCTTGATTTTTCAGTCATTATTAGCGTGAAGTCGTTTTAAATTTTATTGCAATTAGCGAGATCTGTTATCAGCTGCTGTAACTTGCATAAGAACTGCTCGTCTTTTAGTGTGATCGTTGTGTAGCCTGTATACATAAACTGTACTATGGACTATACACATGGACTATACACAATGTAGCGGGCCCCCTCGAGGAGCAGAAAACTATTATTGATTCGTAGAGTCCAAATGACAGAGCAGGGATACAAAAATATTCTTCTGTCCTAAAGAAAACTTGTGCAGCTGCTCTTTAAATGCCAAAAAATATCGTATTGAGCTGCAGTCGAGACAATAGCTGAAAAGGACGACAGAAGCAAAAAAGTAGTTATCTATGGAATAAGTGAATCCGACAATGAGCAGTTAGAAGACAAGGTTGTCAAACTTCTCGCCGAGATTAACGAGAAAACTGCACTATGTGATTTTTGTAGAATTGGTTTAAAGAGAGACTGTTAGAATCTTAATTCTATTTGTAGCTTGTTTTTGTACTTCATATTACTAACCCTGTATCTCACTTTAGCAAAGGGTTAGTTCCAGTGATTGTATATACAGTGTTGGGGTAAAGGGACTCCAGAAGGCAGACAAGGCTCGACTCCAGACTCTAGTTGAAGTAACAGAAGAGAGAGGAGTGTCCAGTGTTTAGTTGACTCCAGACTCTAGCGTAGCAGAAGGGAGAGGAGTGACGTTGTCGACTCCAGACTCTAGCGTAGCAGAAGGGAGAGGAGTGACGTTGTTTTAGTGATCCCACAGATTCCAGTCGACAGATACTATCATATCTGTGTTCTGTGACGTGGAAAGAGTGGTAAGTAGTTTATAGTTATAGTTTAGTAGTTTAGTCTAGGAGTTCCCGCTTCCTCTTTCACTTTCATTTATAGTTTCACGTGGATTACCTTTCACTTTACTCACGGTAGTTTTCCCCCAGGGTTTTGTTTTATAGTTATCAGTTCCAGTTTAGTTGAAGTCCTCATCATTCAGAAGTCCCTCATATAGTAAGAAGAACATCATCATCAGAGTAGTAGTTTTAATTTAATAGTTGTTTAATCTAATAGTAAAAAGACATTATTTAGTTTAGTATTGAATTGTGTATTAGTTAGAGCAGTGTGAGTAACTGAGTCACACCAATCACCTTTTAATCACTCATTCACTATTTGAGGGTGAGTACATAGAGTAACAAGGTTACATTTGAAACACCATTTATTTGTATAACCTCTTTATTCATCTAATTTGTATTTATAATAATTGAGTATTATTTGTTATTTAATTAACCCAAGAACAGGGTTCCAACAGTGGTAGCAGGAAGTGGTATAGGAAGTGGTAATATTACTTTATTAACTTGCATCTTCTGTAGGAAGTGTTAACAGGGGATGTTTGGTATTTTCTGTTGGGATGAGCTAGGAGCAGATTGCTCAGCGTGAGTTTTGGGTTTTATAAGAATGCTGTCGTTTCGATCAACATGCTATTACATGTTCTTCACTGATCCCGAGCCTTTAAGGAATCAGTTTGAACCTGTTTTTAAACGACAGAATTCATGTATTTTACGTTTTAGAACTGTTTAGTACAGTGGTGTGTGTCAATGATTTGTTAGTGACTCATTATTGACTCTCTAGAGGTTGTGTTTAAAGCTTGAATAGCTCCTAATATTTAGTTTTAGTACGCAGTTTTTCTGTCATTACGATAACTCGATACAGAAATCTCTAAAGATCACACTTGATTACAGTGTTGGACGGGTATTTTTTTTTGTGCACCTGTCAGTCTTAGAACGATGTTTCAATTTCGTTCATAGAAAAGAGATTTTCGTATTAAGAACTTTGATAGTTATTAGCTAATAGTTAGACTGTATTAATTCTATCGGACGTTTTGTACAAGTATTATATCTCTCAGATCTCACAATCAGCGTGGAAGGCAGTCATTTTAGCCACTAGCCTGTTTTACAGCGGATGTTTTTCCCGCGTTAACAGAGATTTAATCCACTTGTACCACGTGACTCGCCGAATATGGAATAATCGTTAACTGCTTTTAGTTATCTGCTTTTATGACAGTGGATCGAGACACGTATTAGATTTGCCTTTGTTTGAGCCGCGCATTTGTACCTCAAACTCATAGAAAGTATCTTTTTTGTTTAGCGCGCACGACACGTTTTTGTGTTGCGTGTGGGGATTAGAATATTCTTAACTCTACGGTTTTTGCTAGAGTTTATTTCCTAATTTTAACTCGGATAGTCGGATATCTATTTTTTAACAAAGAAAGTATAGGGAGTTATGACTTTAAGATTGTAAAAGTCATGAGTTAAATTATTAGTAAGTACTTTTTCCTTTTTTAAAGTAGGGGGAATGTTAGAATCTTAATTCTATTTGTAGCTTGTTTTTGTACTTCATATTACTAACCCTGTATCTCACTTTAGCAAAGGTTTAGTTCCAGTGATTGTATATACAGTGTTGGGGTAAAGGGACTCCAGAAGGCAGACAAGGCTCGACTCCAGACTCTAGTTGAAGTAACAGAAGAGAGAGGAGTGTCCAGTGTTTAGTTGACTCCAGACTCTAGCGTAGCAGAAGGGAGAGGAGTGACGTTGTCGACTTCAGACTCTAGCGTAGCAGAAGGGAGAGGAGTGACGTTGTTTTAGTGATCCCACAGATTCCAGTCGACAGATACTATCTGTGTTCTGTGACGTGGAAAGAGTGGTAAGTAGTTTATAGTTATAGTTTAGTAGTTTAGTCTAGGAGTTCCCGCTTCCTCTTTCACTTTCATTTATAGTTTCACGTGGATTACCTTTCACTTTACTCACGGTAGTTTTCCCCCAGGGTTTTGTTTTATAGTTATCAGTTCCAGTTTAGTTGAAGTCCTCATCATTCAGAAGTCCCTCATATAGTAAGAAGAACATCATCATCAGAGTAGTAGTTTTAATTTAATAGTTGTTTAATCTAATAGTAAAAAGACATTATTTAGTTTAGTATTGAATTGTGTATTAGTTAGAGCAGTGTGAGTAACTGAGTCACACCAATCACCTTTTAATCACTCATTCACTATTTGAGGGTGAGTACATAGAGTAACAAGGTTACATTTGAAACACCATTTATTTGTATAACCTCTTTATTCATCTAATTTGTATTTATAATAATTTAGTATTATTTGTTATTTAATTAACCCAAGAACAGGGTTCCAACAGAGACAACACATCAAGACCTGTTCAGCTTTCTTTTAATAGAATTGATACGGCAACTCATGTGCTGACAAAAGCTATATTTCGATGCAAAAAAGAGGGCTACTACAGTATGTAAAATCTGGATTGGAATATTGTTTATGAGTTGCATGGTTGCAATGTATTCTTGTGTAAATTTTCATTGATCCCGTTTGATGTGACAAGGAAAAATGCTCTTTAAATCAGGAAAGAATAATGATGTCGCATCAAACGGGATCAATACAAATTAACACAAGAATACGCTACTACAGTAGCTACATTTTCCCGGACAGATCAGTGGAAAAAGGAGAGCTTTTAAGAGGCTGTGGGAGCAATCAAAAGAGAAGAGGAAAGCAGAGCCTATATAAGGAACAATATAATTAGGTTGTCAACTGAGTTTCAGCTCCGATTGACTATATTTTGTTTTTTAAATCTCATTGATTGAAATAAATTTTCGTGCACATACAGAATGAATGGTCAATAATTTAATATATATGTAGACCAAGGTCTGTGCACGGGATGCTTCCTGGAAGAATCCAGTTCTTTTAGCGGGGCACCCTACCTAAAGCCAAATTGAGATATAATAATCATATTCCTAAGAAATAATCAGAATTCGAATACCAATCAAATAATATGATATATATGAGTAGTAACCATATTTACTATGCAAAATGCCCCAACCACATAGTGTAAATTTATATAGAATTCAAATTCCATATCATCATTAAACCTCAATACCTAGTCAATATAATAGCCCAAGCAAAATTAAATAACTTCTTATATACCTTACTGTCATACTACAAATTAATTAAACATTTGAAATCTGTTGACCAGAGAATAAATTTCTAAGCCTAAGGATACAAGGATACAAGGATACAAAAGTGATAATTACTTTATTGAGTACACAATAGTTGTAATTCTGAAATAATTTAAGTTACACAATTCTAATTATTTACAAGTGTGTAGGGATAATTTAGAAATGTTATATAATGCTAGTTTTAGAAAAATAGATAAATCGAGTTTGTATGGTTCAATCTTATTTTAAGGTCCTATAGCATTATGCACTTGCCAGTATTTGAGTGGAAATCTGGGCTCTTATAATAGGCTGTATAATTTTCGTTCACAGAGAGAATTGAATGGATTGCTCTTGCTGTGGCAGTGAGTGTGGTAGGATCTAGAGTTTTGTTGGAGAGCAAACCGACTAGGTCAGTAATGTTTAGGGGATGGAAATTGAATTTTTCCCTAACTGAGGAGTAGAGCAAACAGTCAATCAATACGTGACTTTCGTCCTCAATAGGCTTTAGCCCTTTGCTGAAAAAGCAGTAGGTGCACCAACGTTCTTCTCTTGGTACAAGGGGGGTTTCATATCTGCCCCTTTCGATGTAGAGGTTGTGGCAGCTGATACGAAACCTTGTCAGACTTTTTCGAACATCCGGTATTTTGATAATTCGTAGGTATGCCTCTGGTTCGAAATCATGTTTAATTAGGTTATAGAATTCTAGTTTTGGCGAGGAGGCCTTGGCAGCTAATGCAAGTGAAATAATTTAGATGCAATAATGAATGCCTAATGTGAGTATCATTTGTCAATGTCCTTGTAAAAAAGTCTGTACAAGAGATATGAGTAACTAATATAGAAGAAAAAACAGGAAGTTGTCGTCTGTTGTAAAATAAATAAAATATCTAGAATATAAATTAGAATAGAACAGTTCACCGTGCGCTGCATTACCGTGTTTGGTTTATTGTCAGATTTTACAGACAGGGAAATAGTTTATTCGATTCTTCTTTTATACGTTATAATTGCTGGACTCTGTAAAGATTTGAAATTGCAGATATTTACCAGTTTGTTTTGTCTTTCGGGAATCTGAAATCGGCCAATTTAACCCTTCTTCTTTTACCAAATCATTTTTGATTTCTTTTAGAGCTTCCTCAAGTGACTTCTTGTAGACCTGTAATCGAATAGGTTGCTTTGTTTTTCGAAATTAAATAATGTTGAATAATTTTAATTGTATTTGGAAACAATGACAAACGAATTCAAAACCTGTACGTTTCACTGTCAATTATTCATCAAAGTAAGAGTAGTGCAAATACTATCATAATATAAATACGTTTACCACTCATACCGAGAAAGGTTTTGGAGAAACAAATAAATTGTTGCTGACAGCTTCCTTTTCTTTTCTTTGTGACACCTGACAGGGATGAATGTTCAAACTTAAGATTTCAGTTTTACACTCAACGGTCCTGTCTATAATTGTTATTACTAACTTCTCCGTTTTGACAGCTTGATCAATGAAACAAGAAATTTTCAATGAAATTTTCACCGACTTTTAAATCGAGAGGCAGTGTTTTGTGAGGTGGAACAGATATGAACATAAAATACCTTATTCATGGTTACTATACATGCAGTAGGAGATGATTGTGCCAATGTGTCATGAAAGTGGAACTGGGACTGCAGATATGAACATGAAATACTTTATTCTTGGTTACATGCAGCAGGAGATGATTGTGCCAATGTCGTGGAAGTAAATTTACAGGACCAACCTGCTCAGCGACTCCTTTTCTGGCAACCATCATATGGTGAAACCTAAATCAAAATCAAATCAATGATACAATAAGTTTTATTTTACATTCCTTTAATCATAAATGAAATAAGAGCTTAAACCACAAATAAGTTAACTAGAAGTAAACTTGAGGAAATATTCTTTGGTGATCGCATATAATTATTTAAAAAACTTTATTTGGTTGTTAGTATTTTTATTATGTCAAGCGGTTGAATTTAGGGAAATTTAGTGAAACAAGGTCAGTTTCGCTATTGTCTTAGAAAAATTTCTACTTTACAGTAGGCAATGTTGAATGGCAGGAATGAGGGACCAAAACACTTGGGGCTAACAATGGCCCATGACTGGTAATGCAAAGATTCTTATTCTGGTTTGGTCGGTTCCAAAAGACCTATCCAATATTGCTGGTATAAAAGATTCTTGAATTTTTTATTCTAGCCTTCTAAGGTATTGACAGATGCCAGCATTTATAAACACTAGCAGGAACCTGTATAACCCTAAAATGGTCTTAAGACTCAAGCGACTAAAAAAAACTCCTAGCCTATTTCTTGGCAAATTTTTCATTTTTTCATGCGGATTTGAAGGCCATTAAAGCATTTGACCCAGTCAAAAAGTTTCAGTTGTATATCTTTTATGGTTTTTGCGGAAATTCGCGTTAAAGTTGATGCCGTGGTGTCAGTAAAATGGCACGGATAAATATATATCGTCTCGCTTTATATAAAGTAAGATTATATATATATATTAAAAAAAAAAAAAAAAAAAAAGGGGGGACCGGGTCCCCCCCCTTTTTTTTTTCTAGGGTTAAACAACTTTATATTCAATCGTAACATCTACCAAGGTGATTATGTGTTTAGCATAATTATCATTAAAATAACTTTCAATTTATAATTTGAACCCAAAAACCTTACTGCATACTGCATAGGAGGGCCAAAGGTGAAAGAACTGCTGCTCTTTGCGCGCGGGTCATTTGCAGCAGTTAGCAGCCGTCTTTAGCAGTTGTGTGCGGCGTGCGCGGGGCAGCAATATAAAACAAGCATAAATCTGCTGCTTACTGCTGTAAATGGCGCGCTCGACAGCATGAGCAGTTCCGGGCTGAGTGAATATTTAATTACAACCTCCATTGCACTGAAAAAGTGCGGATGTTGTGCTAAGCGATCTTTTCTGGTCAACGCAGCTTAATGATCGTGAAATTCGTGATTGATGGTTTGAGGAATTGCTGGAAAACTATAAGCCAGTATCAACCTTAGCTGTTTTTAGTAAGATATTTGAAAAATTTATTTACAACAGATCGACTGTATAACTTCTTTCAGTCCCCGAAAATGATTTAAGAGAACCAGTACGGATTTAGAAAAAAAAATCCGCTCCTACTAAATTGCCCGCCCAAATTTTAAGAAAATTCTTGTGAAAAGGCCCTTTGGGTGTGAAATTGATCTAAATCGGTGTATTTTTGGACGCTGATTCTGAATCACCCCACATGACGCAGGGTAAAAATGCTTTCCTGGAGAGTTATGGGCAAAAAACCGTTTTGGTCACGTGACAGGCTAGTAAAACATGAATTCGATTGTTTAGGGCTCAAGTTAGGGTTAGGGTTGTGGTAAAGGTTATGGTTAGCTTCGGGGTTATGGCTAGGGTTAGGGTTGGGATTAGGGTTTATGTAAAACCGTTTTGTACGGCTGAAAAACCATAAAAACCAAAGCCACGTGAAATTTTTGGGCGAGCGAATTAGTAAAAGCCGAAAAAATCACTTCACAAGCCATGCCCTCAACTCCTCAGTGAATTACATAGAATCCTGTCTTAGCAAAAAAACTGCATGTGCTTGGAATATTTATTGATCTATCTTAAACATTGGGTGTATGTGCGTGAGAAACTTGAGAGAACTAGACAGAGGAAACCTGGTCAGACAGTGGGATATGATCCCACTTGATCAAAATGAACTTGAAAATCAATAAGGAGGTGTGCTATCCGTGCAGTAAGTCGATTAATATTGGGCAACCTATGCTTGAATGTGAAAACTGCACCAAAGTTATCCATACTAGATGTTTTAAATCTGCTAGTTTTAAGTGCAAGAATGGCCTATGGATGTGCCCAGAATGTGCACTTATCACAGAGGACAGGTACTGCCCCTTTGACAATCAAAACGATCTCGAAAAGTCGGACAGGCCCTACAATGAGGGTGCAGAAGACACCCTCATCCAAAAATTTTGTCATACCCTCGAGAGCTGTAAACGTTATTCCAAACGTGAATTCACAGAAGTAGCTACAAAAATCAGCAGTGGTGATGGGTCCTTCCTCTCAGCACTGTTCCTCAACATTGATGGCAATGCCAGTAATTTCGATACATTCCAAGTTGAACTCAAACGATTATCTCATCCATTTGATGTTCTTGGACTTGCTGAAACCAACGTTGGTAGTAGCTTACAAGAATTATACCAGATCCCATCTTACACCAGTTTTTATCAAAATACCCTCCCAGATAAGAAAAAGGGCACTGGGGTTGCGCTTTATGTCTCAGACAACCTTAACACTGTTGTCCTAGAAAAGTTATCCTACTGTACTGTAAACATTGAATGCTTATTCGCCGAAATCACTGATAGCACTGGTGTTGGGGTTGTCTACGGAGTTGTATACCGTCCCCCTAGTGGCTGCCTTGAGGCTTTTTGTGAAATTTTACAAACCATTGCTAAGCAGATATCCGGCAAGCCCTTTCGTTTGCTTGGCGACTTTAACTCAGACCTCTTCAAAGTTTCGTCACACAACCAGTTATTTGAAGACACTATAATTAGTAATGGTTTGTATCCATCCATCTCAATTGCTACCCACTTCCGGCCTAATTGTAAAAACTCGTGTATAGATAACATCCTAGTTAGTGATATTGATAATGTTTTGCTCTCTGGTGTACTTCAGGATAGATTAAGTGAACACACGTTCATATTCTCCTTCACCTCAACCCCGGCCCCAAGAAATAAGAACAATGAAAAACATGTCCGCTACTACGACTACTCAAGTACCAAGCTTAAAAATTTTGTTTCTGACCTTGAGGTGAAGGTGAATCAGCTGTCCCAATCTTCAGATTTTTGCGAATTTGTCGATTGCTTCAAATCCACCCTTGACAAGCACTGTAAATTAGAAGTACCGAAAACGACCAAAAGAACACCAAAGCTTAATCCTTGGATTACAGATGGAATCATCCTCTCAATTGACAGAAAACATGAGCTTTGTAAAGAATGGTCAGATACAGTAACAAATAAAGATCCATCTGGCAATGTCCTTCTTTATAAGATATTTAGTGACTATCGTAGGATGCTTAAGGGTATCATAAAGGCAGCCAAACGCTCCTATTACTGTAACGAAATCTATAAAAACATTGAAAGCAGTAAGAAAACTTGGCAGATAATAAATGAGCTTAGGGGCAAAAGAAAGAAAACAACCAAACCACCTTTCATCATCAATAATGAAAGAATCTCGAACCGGAGAGCAATTGCCAATGGTTTTAATTCCTGGTTCGTATCAATTGCTCCCAAGCTCAATGAAACTATCACAACTGACTTGTCTTCTGGTATTCCAATTCTCCCCATGAAAACATTCCATGACTTCCTTAGCCCTAGTAACTCTCGATCTATTATGTTAGAGGACAGCACTCCTGAGGAGGTTCTAAGAATAATCAAAGAATTCGAGAATGGAAAGGCCAGTGATATTCCCATATCCGTTATTAAAACTTCGTCCCACGTTATTGCACCAATTATCAGTAGATACTTAAACAAGCTTATGTCAAATGGTATATTCCCTGATATACTTAAGACTGGCAGAATCACACCTGTCTTCAAAAAAGGTAATCCAGAAGAAATAGAAAACTACCGTCCTATATCCACCTTGTCCATATTTGGCAAAATATTTGAGAAAATCATATATTCTAGGATTTATTCGTTTGTCAGCTCTCAGGGAATAATATCTAAGACTCAGTTTGGTTTCAGGCAATCGCACTCAACCTCCCATGCAGTAAACTACTCTGTTGACCTCATATCTAAGCACATCAAATTGAAGCACCATGTGTTAGGCATATTCATCGACCTCAGCAAAGCTTTCGATACTATAGATCACTCAACATTACTTACCAAACTAGAAAGGTATGGCATCCGTGGCGTGGCAAACGATCTGATCAAGAGCTACCTAACTAATCGATTTCAGTACACTGATGTTGTAGGAGAAAAGTCCGACCTACTTCCAATAAAATTTGGGGTTCCCCAGGGGTCAATTCTCGGACCCCTTCTATTCCTACTTTACATAAATGATATCTCTAATAGCTCTAGCTTGGGATCGTTTGTCACCTTTGCGGATGACACCAACATATTTTTTGTTGGTAAAACTGCACAGAACGCCCTACTTTCAAACCTTCAAACATACATGCGGGCTAACAAGCTTCACATAAACATGTCAAAATGCTGCTACATTCACTTTAGACCTAAGTCACGTACTGAAGCAAACGTTGAAGAAGAATTCATAATGAATATAGACAACTACCCCATCAAAAGAGTAACGTCAGCTAGATTTTTAGGAGTCGTCATTGACGAAAATCTAACATGGGAAGAACATATAATAGCCCTAAAACGAAAGCTTAACCATGCCACCTCAACTTTGTGTCGTCTACGCTGCTCCCTCCCAGAATTTCTCCACAGACAGATATACTACACTCTTTTTGAATCCCATCTGTCGTACTGCATATCAGCATGGGGTGGGGCAGCTAAAAATCGTATAAGCTCAATATTCACTGCACAGAAGTACTGTCTGAGGGTCTTGTTTGGTGATAGAGCAGCCTACCTGGATAAATTCAAAACGTGTGTTCGAACCAGACCATTTACTGACCAGAAACTTGATAGTAAATTCTATAAAAAGGAGCACACTAAACCTCTGTTTAAAAACAACGAGATACTCACTGTACAAAATCTTTATACTTACCATAGCTACATAGAATTATTCAAGATCATGAAGTTTTCTACTCCTATGTCTATGTACGAAGAGTATTCTCGT